ACGTGAAAAAGATTTGTTGTGCAATTTAATTTATATTTACCCATTTTTAATGTGAAAATTATTTCTCAACAGCGTTAAGATCAGCTGGTTTTATGTTGGGATTGAAGTCGGTTCTGAGTGGAGTTTGATTGGAGTTGATTTCTTGATGTGTATTTATGATTTTGCCCTCAGTTGAATGTGTGGATTTACCGTATTTATCTCTGGGCATTCGGTAATTAACTAATTATGCATACTATGGGTATTATCGTCCCATCTTTATTTTATTGGACTTTGGTTGTAGGAAGTTAATGACTCGTTTTATCCTTCTACTCTTACTTTTTTTTTAATTGTATTATGCTATTTATTTCAGATAATTTTAGTATTACGTGTCAAAAATATAAGCCTTGAGCTCTCATAAATTACACATGGATAATAAAAAAATTAATTCAAAAAACTACTACTAAAATTGCTGACGTCAATATATTGTATATTGATAGAAGCAACAAATAATGTTTGCGTAATAAAAAAATTTGGTGACCACATTTCTTTCTTGATCTAATTTGTGAAAATAATTAATTTTTACAAAAACAATAAAGCTTATTTAATTGTCAAGGAGAGACACATAAAGCCAAGTGAATAAGTACACGATGGCCTGCCAGTGAAGGAAAAAAAATAATTATATCGTAAGCCACGTATAGATTTATCATTTCAACGAGAGTGACGATAGCTTCTAGAAACCTTGAAGAATAGTTTTTAACTTTTTTGATTTAGATTTTAAATTTTTAGTTTCTGTGCATATTTTTTTTTCTTATATTTCTTTCGGATATTCTTACGGTGGCATGTAAGTTCGTATATTCTCTATACATATAAAGAATTTTTTATACATTTTAATTGACTTTTAATTTGAAAATAAATTATTTCTCAATTTTAATTTAATGAATTTTTTATTTTTGTTAAAATAATAACGGTGAGGATGACAACGAATAAGAGAGCTTCTAGAAATCTTTATGAACTAAATAAGCAATAGGCAGAGAAATGGTAATGAGATACCATAATTACCCATTTCACTTTTCATGGGAAGATATAATAGGTCATGTTAACTAAGAGCATCTCTAATGCTCTTTTTATATTAACATTTTTTTTATAATAAAGAGGTTCGACTCAAATTCCATCTCCAATACTCTCTTTATCACAAACTCTATCTTTAAAATTGAGATAGAGAGTATCTTTGGCTCTTCAATACTAGAAAGTTCAAATTACTCTTTATCTTATATTTCATTAATAAAAATTACTATTTACTATGCCACTCAACCTCTTTACCAATAATATTTTTGGGTTTTATAGATTTTGTCAAAATAAAGAGTTAAAGTAGAGAGTAACATTGGAGATGACACCGATCTTTAATCTATATAATTAATGATGCTATTTATTTACATTAAAAATGCTAGTTAAAAGTATAGAGCACCATTGAAGATGCTCTAAACTACATCATTATCTCATTTCGATAAAATTTATTTTCTACGTTTTTTATTCTAGAAACTCGGCACGTCTCAAATATTAATAATTTGTTTTCTTTTACGATTTTATGTTATTAGAATATCTATGTCGATTTTCAACCTAATCAAAGATAAATACTTCATATCGAAATTAAGAATTTCATGCATATATATATATACTCTGATTTTAAAACTTTGACATGTTTCGAAAATCAAGCTTTTGTTTTTATTGAAACCTTCTTTTTTATGTAACATTAAACTTGATAACCGATAGTTGAATATAATATTATGCTGATCCGAGTTTAAAAAATAATAAATAAAATTTCAATTAATATGAAAACTAATTTAAAAATGCTCAATTGACTATAATATAATAAAAAATGGGTTTTTTGCATATCGAGATTTCATATAATTTGGATTTTTTTATTGAAATCTTAAATTTTTTTGTCTAATGTAAGAGTTTTACTTTTATATTGTTATTATTTCGGATCCTAGTTAATAACAACTTGTTACGTAAACCCACATAACAAACTTTAACCAATGACAACTTTTTACGTCACCAATTCAATCATTCAATTTGGTCTACCATGACATGTAATAAGTTATTATTTGTTAGAATCTATCATGTGTACTTATATGACATATTAGAGTTTGAAACAATAATAAAATTTGATAAAAAAAACCAATGATTTCAATAAAAAAAATTAATTATACGAGTTTTCGATGTATGTAAGTCTCAACAAAAAACTTATGACTTATTGTCTATTCCCCTTTGCTTTTTATATTTTGTGGGAAGAATAAAAGATGTGGAATTAGAGAATGGACACATTTGCATGATAATGAAACTTATGTAGCGTCCACTAGACTCCAACCACTATTGGCCATTACTCAAAGTAACAAATGATATTTTGCATTATGGGCTAACCGTTCAAGGCACATGGTTGACAAAGGGTACACACTAGTTGACTTAAAAGATAATTCAATCAAACGAGACACAATGAAATGGATCCAACCATTAATCACTTTCTCTTTTTTCTATGTATTTGATGAAAACCAAGAATAGTGCAATGTCATTGTCAATGGAAACATCAAGTTTCATGAAACTTTTTAATTACTAAAGTTGAAGTTGGGACTTTATGGTAGGCCATAACTTTCACTTTTGTCTCTAATAGTGTGCAATCAAGATCAAATCATTGTTTGTTGCTAATAGGAGGGCTGAAGACGTGTGGAAAATGCACATCCATAATTAATTTTATGATTGGATCACTCACCTATATTTCCACTCTTGCTTCGTAATTTTAAATTGGGTTTTGTTGATATAGAAACCTCGTATAATTTTTATTTTTTAATTAATATTATAATTTTTTTATCTCTAATTTAAGAGTTATTATTTTAGATTCTAATATGTCACGTACATACATGTGGTAATATCTAACAAATGATAGATTGTCACATATTATGTTAGATCCAAATTGGATTTTAACAAAATTAAAAAATTCTTACGTGATAATCTGTTATTGGTTAGAACTTAACACGTGTATATAAATGACATATTAGAATCGAAACAATAATAATATAAGAATAAAATTTTTAAATTAAAAAAAATTCAAATTATACGAAATCTAGATATACATACAATCCATTTTAAATTATGAATGAGTAGAATTCTTGTGAATTTGGGATTTTTCCCATTTATAATGAGGTTTCTTGCATTTGAAAAAGGAAAGAAGTTATTTACAACATTTTTTTATAATGTTTCGTTCCTTTCATGCTTTCATTAGGGAAGAACAAGAAGGTATTCTAGAAACCTTGGCACCTTAGAAACCTCATGTCCTTTCCTTCTCAATGGGGCATGAAAGTGTGGGTGAACATTGGATTATTTAGTTTTGATTTCAATAAATCCAATTTGGTTTTTTATTGATCGCATCTAAATTGAATTATTATTTGATTTTTTAATATAAATATGATGCTATGATTCACTGAATATTATTTTTGTCATGAATTAGATTTTTTTATGTATTTATCATTTTATTTTGAAAAAAAAAGTATCATTCTAAAGTTTTAATCAATTACAAAATAGCATACATGATATATCCAACTCCAATAATATAACCCATATATTATTAATAAAATTTATTTAACAACAAAAAAATAAAAATAAATAAAAAGTTGAACTAACAGAGTAGCTTTATAGTTCTTAATGTTAGATTATATATAAATGCTATTCTTTTTTTTTTATGAAAATCAAATAAAAAATTTTAAAATCGGAATCGAAATTGAAAAATCAAAACTCGATTTCAGAAATATAAATTGAAAAAAAAAACCCAATAAAAACTGAATCAAGATCATTTCGATTTGTCTTTTTAGTTTAAACAGAACAGTGCTATCCTTACGTGGAAGCAACAAAGGCTTCGACAGTCGATAAGTGACCGAATCCCGAACCAATGCTTCTAGAAGGCCTTCAAACGTGCCAAACAATTATCGGGATGTCTGCCGTTGGATTTAAAACCCTAGAAACCAAATCTAGGGGCAAAAACAAATCACGAAAAGATGGAGAGAGGGATTCTGTGAGCCGACTTGGCTTCTAGAAACTTTGGCACGTGCGAGACGTCATCGGCGTGATTTGTGGAATGTTGAGGATCTTGTCTCGGCTAATAGAAACTGAGCCAGCCGATTTAGATACCGTAAAACTAATAAATAAATTATAATAATATTTTATTTAAAGTAATTATTATTAATTTTCAAAAGCATATAACGACACAGCAATAGGCTGTAAATATATATAATGACATAGGTGTTAAAGAAGATGGGGGAAAAAGGAAAAAAAATTAAAAATAATCTATTATCGTTTTTTTTTTAACAAAAAAATCCAAGAGTATCCGACTAATAAAAACATAATAATTTTTTAAAATATATTATATTTTAATGCTTAAATTTTATATGATTAAAATTCAGTTCATTTTTACAGTAAAATTTCATTAAAAAAATCATTACACTAGATCGTGTTGGATTTTTATTTTTCTTTGAAAATGCTAATAATTTGATATGTTATGTTATTTTGAAAATGGCAGGCAAAACAATCACAAGCAAAGCAAAGCCAAGCCAAGCCAAGCCAAATCCCAATTTAAAAGTTCGAAGGCTCAATATTCTACCCAAAAGCCAGTAAGAAAAAAAACATATATTTCTTTTTAAGAATATACTCTTTCTTCTAGAAGGTATTTATTATATTGTACTATTAATTAATTAAATAATTAATTCCATGTCAGCAACAGAGACTGCCTCCTGCTAATCAAACAACTGCCTCCACCGCACTCCCACAGTTTTCTTTTCAACCTTTTCAGAAAAATAAAAAAACAATTAATTAATTTTTAAAAATTACTTCTGTGTATATATACATATAACGGTGTCTCTCTTTTCCATTTCACAAGCATTTTCGCTTGAAAACCTTCTTTTCTTATCCTCATTTTGCCCCTAAAACCTTCTCTTCCAATGTACACTACCCATTCCTCTTCCACTCTAACTGCCATGGCAGCTCTCACAACCGCCACCGCCAATAGATTTCAAAAAACTCTGATTCCGTCATCGATTACGACACACGCCGCTCGTTCTCGCCGAAGAATTCAAATCAAAGCCTCGGTGTCAACGTTTCCCGACGCAATCCGAGATGACTCGAGGAATTCAGCGCTGAGTCTCTACGAGATACTCAGGGTCAATCCATGTGCCTCGCAAGTGGAGATCAAAACTGCATATAGAAGTCTTGCTAAGGTATACCATCCTGATGCGATGTTTAATCATGATCATCAACAGGATGATGATGAGGAGCAATCGGACGGTGGAGATTTTATCGAGATTCATAACGCTTATGAGACGTTATCGGATCCGGCAGCTAGAGCGGTTTACGATCTGTCTTTATCATCAGCGGCCAGGAATTTTTATAGGAGAGCCGTTGGATATTCAGGTGGGTATTATACGACCCGAAGATGGGAAACTGATCAGTGCTGGTGAAGAAAATGGAAAAATGACTAGATTCAACGAACCTGATTTGACTGGGTATTCGGGTCAGGTTTTGTTTTTAGTTTTTTTAGCTTTAGGATTTTTCTCTTTTTTTTTTTTTTTTTTTTTTTAGTATAAACATGTCACTGTCGTGGCAATGTGTAAAGAGGTAGATTTCGTTTCGTTTTTTTTTTTTAAAAAAAAAGAGAAAAGAAAAGAGTACATACTTTCAATTTCCTTTTCTTTTTCTTATCTCAAAAATAAATAAATCGAGAATTCTTAATTTGGGTTTGATATTATCTATATTTGATATTTAATTTTTTTTTTTTTTTTTGCATGCTAGGGCTTGTCCAAATTATGGTGTAGTACTCAGGGAGTGAAAATAAAATGAAACTAGGTGGTGGAATATAAATTAATGAACTTCTTCTGTTTCAAAAACTAAGTATCTATTTTATTTTTTTCAATTTTTTTTCTTTTTATGTTTTAAAAAATAGATATTATAGAAAGAGAAAATTAATAAGAAAAAAAAAAGATTTTTTTTTTTTTGGATTTGTCACAGATTTCATGGTCGACAATGCTTTAACAATTAGCATTAACTACATGGGCTATGGCTATGGAACGTGGAAAGTTATAACAGCAAGCTGCTAGGCTTATGAAGGTTAAGCAAATCAAAATATTTTTATTGAGGTTTGATTAAGGTTTACAAAAAGAAATAATAATTATTATTATCACATTTAATGCAAACTGATTTTCTCTCTTTATATATATATATATATATATTAAAATAGACCCACAAAATGACTTTCTCGTACCAATCTCTCCATAAAGTGGGTCATAGAATACATATTTACTGGTAACTCATTGAATATTTTAAAATTTTTGGAATATAGGTTTTTATGAGAAGAAGATAGAGATAAAATAAAAAATAAAATAAAATTATTTTGCTATAATATCTACAAATGGAGCCATAAAAAGAGTATTATTAATTACTTCAATTTCTGGAATGAGATTACTTCTCTGAGAAGGGGGGAAAGCATCTTCAACTATTTTTCACAGATAAAAGAAAAGAGCTATCATTTCGCCTCTACAAACTACAAACTCCTTTTCTTTCAATAATACTCCTTGTAGAAATTCGAAGAGCCTATATAAGAACCCACCAAAAGATTTGTACAAAGTTCCTGCTACTTCAAAACTCTGCCTTGTATTTTGCACAGTGGTTGACAATGGGAGCATCATTTACAGGTCGCCAGCAAGTTATTAATGACATGCATGAGAACACGGATGCTTGCGAGCTCAGGACCAGGACCAGGACCACCGGGTGAGCTCCGTAGATGGTTCAAAATCTCAGAGACTTGCTCAACAGTAGGCCGCACGTAGTAACCAATCGTTTGGTCGAATGGCAGTATGGAAGCCGCCACCAATGTCATCCACTCAAGCTTTCGGGGAGTCTCTTTGCTTATATCATAGGCCAGCTGCTGTAGAAGAGAGATTAATACTCCTTGGCTTAGAGGAAGAGGAGACAGAGACATGATACCCTGCAAATCAACCTGGGAAAAACAAGAGTAGGGCAAAAATAACATGACGACTGAATCTTCTCAAGCCCATTTCAAAGTAGAGATGAAAACCACAATCCCAGCAGATTCGCATGCGACACGACACGCGTGAAGGAATAGCGAAACAAATGTAACAGCAGAGTGGTGTTCGAGAGAATTTGACAAAAAAATAAACATGACACGAAATAAAAACTTGAAATTTGCAAAGCAAAATTCTTAACCAAAGGCATTGACTAGAACAAGCAAACAAGTTTCTTCCCATCACATATAGAAGTACCAAGACTAGATAGAACAAGAAATACCTGAGAACACAGCCAGGATACCATAGCCACATCACTTCTTTGCAGCGCAATAGTGAAAGCCTCCTCATATTTGCGTTCAGATATTAATCTTTTTAGCTCTTGCTTTGGATCCAAAGGGGTTTCAACCTGAGACATCAAGGGGGAGGCTTAGAATTACCTCCATGATAACAAATGGTACTTGACAGTCATGAGCAGCTGAAATAGTTCAGATCATAAAACCAACAGACCTTCTCATGGAAGCTAGCCAAAGGTCCATTGCTAGGTTGTCTAACCAATGGATTTGTTGCACCTGAGTTTGCTGCAATAGCCAACAGATGTCTTTGCGTATCAGCCAACTCCATACTCAAGGTTTTTGTCAATGATGATGCTGAGTTGATGGAATCCTGCATTTAACACAATAAAAAAAGGGAATAAAATAATGCTGGCAAATATGGAAGAAAAAAACAGCATAAAACTGACAGAGAAGGACCACTGCAGCACATCCATTTTCTTTTGACTTGCAAATTGCAACACTATATGTACAATAGCAACAAACACTAAACAGTCGCTGCCTACATGGCAGTTATGGTCAAGATTCTGCGATATATCCTTACTCCTCAAATACCCATAGTAAGACCTCAATGACCACAAAGCAAATCATAGCCTCAAGTGATATGCAATCGCCATTCGCTAAGTTCATGATCCCCGAGAAGAACCTATATTAGGCTAACATATCTGAAGGACAGATGTACAGAGTAAGAAAATTTGGTAAGCTGCTTAAGAAATTTGGATGTTGTTAGGATGAAAATATGATTATTCAGTACAGAAGAATCCAAATTCAAAATATAAATGTGCAACTCTTGCTCAGGATCCATCTGACAAAACCCCAACGTTTTAGTTTTCAATAAATTAACGAAGAGGGCTGCTTTATAATGAATTCATAATGTGGCACAAGAAAACACACCCTTAAAGTGAGTGCCAGTGAAGAATGTGCAGATTCAAAATGCTGCTGAGCTGCAGTTGTATGCTCAACCATCCCTTTCCGGAAGGCAGAATCGACTTGATCAAACATAGCTTTGCATGACATCTCAAAGGCAGGGATTACTGACGCTTCCAGACCAGCCTTCAAGGAATCCTGCGTGAAAAGATCTATTATCAACAATTGTGTGAAACTTTGTAGATTCATACCAGAAGTTATACTATGATGCGATACTCTTCAGAAAAATAAAGTTGGGCATGCATCTTCAATAGAAAACCATTAACCAGCCTAGGACCCACCAAACAAGGTCTTTTTAGTATTTTGCAAAACAGATAGCCCTACCCTTCAGTATTTGTGTGTGAAGTGGCTGCACTTACAGCTTGAACCTGCCACATCTTGGCTGCAAGCCCAAGACTTTTACCAGTGATTTAGAGACCCACCAATGTTCAGTCATTCTAAAAAATTATGATAAGCTAACTTCTTAATACCTGAAGAGCTTGCTTGCCAGAAGTTTGAAACTGTGCTTGAATTTGCCTAGCAACAGTAGCCTCGAGTTTTGAGTTTACTGATTTATCCAGTTGATTCACTGCCTTATCACCAATTCCTCTCTGAAGAGAGAAAAGAATCAGTAAACTAATAGTTAATTTCTGAAAAAAAAAAAAAAGCATCCGGTTTCCAGATCTCTTACCTGGAAAGACTCAACAATAACTGAAGATATTGTTTTCTCGACGACTGGAGATATTGTGCGAACTACACCTTGTCCAACTGAAGCCAATTCCTTCTTCAGTGTTTTCTCTAACATGGCTGCAAAGTCCTTATTGATAAAATTCGAGATCAAACTTGTTATCTGTTGTGTGCGATCTCGCAATAACTTCTCATTCTTTGCATTCTCTTCTTGAAATCGAGCCCACAGTGCATCAGTATTCGCTTTGATGGCTTTCTCAATGCTCCGCCCCAAAGCTGTTTCTAGTCTTCTGCATTCTTTAGAAACAGGGACTGCAACCATATTTGACATCTGCTTATGCATTTCCTTTTGCATGATCACTAGCTGGAAAGTAAAAGGAAAGAAAGAACACCAACGTCACCAACGTCAAAAGTGGATGACTGGAAAGTACATAGATTAAAGCAGCATAAGGTTTTGTGTATTATACTTATATGATCCACCCACATGGAGAGCCCACCAAGTCAATGGGAGTGACATTATTTATGCTATAAGAATTTATTTATTTGCAAAAACAATAATAATAATGAAAATCTTTAAGTTTATGACATTGTCTAGCAAGAAAATAACACATGCTGCATAAGTTAGGATATTTTCCACGTGCAGAGTCTAAGCAATCACCTGATTAATCGACTCCTGCATAGCCAAAACTTGAGGAAAGGCACCATCCACAAAGAGGAGATTTGAAGCCCCAACAGGTTCATTCAAAGAATCTGTTGAATTAAAAGCACTAGGAGATTGAGAAGATGAACCTGATGGTTGAGAATGTTTCCCCTTCTGCTTCTTCCCTTTTATACTTGGAGTTGTTGACAGTGGAACAACTGTTGATGCAGTGGACTCAGAAACTTTTCCAGATACATCTTTTGCTGAGTCACGGACTTCATCCTCACCTTCATGAGAAGTTGGGGCTAGAGAATCACTAACACCAACACCATCAACTTGTCCACGTTCCTCAATATTTGTTACTGGCGGTAATGCACAACAATCTCTAGTCATCTCAACACCAAGATCTGAAGCCTGGGAGCAAAATATTTTTTCCTTGCTTTCAGAAACAGGCCTTTTGGATTCCCCTCGAAGACTAAATTCATCATTTCGAGTGGATCTTGTTTCACCCACTATTTTAACTTCCACCTCAGCCTTGGCATCATTATTGACAACCACATCTTGAACATTTGAGTCATTCTCCCTCTCCCCCTCATTAACATTCGTAATTTCAGAGGATGAAGCACCCATTAAAATCTCAGAAGGGGTTACTAGATGAGTTGGGTGTTTAAATGTAATAGGAGGATTAAGAGTGGTAGAATTATCATCCTGTACAATTTTCTTCTCATCATTCCTTGAGTCTCTATCCAAGGAAGGCACATCGGACAAATTTAAATGAACAGCGTCCGTTTGCTGGTCAACTGAATAATCGATAGCTGGTTGATTAAAGCCTTGGTTGCTGGATGCAGGACTTGGCTCAAAGCCTCCCCCAACTGCAAACTCAGGAAGGTCTCTAGATAATCTAGGTCTCAAAGGAAGAGGATGTGATGGTACACAAACTATATCAGCATCGCTAGTGGATGAGGCCAAAGCAATAGTTCTCGGGTCCATATTTGAAGTGGGAGCATCAACTGACGTGGAGCTCATAAGAACATCAGAATATTTCCTTCCACGTGACTCCAAGGCAGCATATCCATCACCATTAGGCACATCTTGTAAAACACTGGAATCCAACCGCTCTGCACCATTCTCCATCAGAGGTGGCAGGCACTGACATAATTCCAGAGTATACTGTTGAATTGCCTGTGTCTGTACGCAATAAACTTGAGCAACAGATTGGCCATGCACAACATCACTCGTCCCAGTTAAACTCAAAATAGGCATAGTGACAGTAAACTCTGATATGTAGTCCATACGAGTTGATGCTGGATTAGGACCATAATCTAAGTGCACAGCATATATAGCATTCCTCTTTGCATTTGCAAGCAAAATAAGGCCCAATTGAGACAATGCTACGACTTGATTGAAGAATGCCTCTTCAACTCGAGGTTCAGCTGAACTTTTCAGCTCTAATGTCTGGGTGCAATTCAACGAATCAGAATTGTTAGGCAGGAGCCAGCCTTCTTCACTGGCTGAGGTCCAAATCTTCATTTCCCTGTTCTGGGGCCCCTGTCCAACAATTTTGGAAGATCGATTAACAAAAGGTGTAAACATTAGCTCTTGGAAAATGAAAAATGAAAACTGGACTCTACAGTGAACCAAGCTCAAAATTAAATTTCAGAAGACTCCAAATAATCAAATACAGGCCAACTTGCTTAGAAATCTAACTACACAAAAGTTCAGGTTCTCAACACCTGGCTACCATAGTGTGACTGCAAGACTACGACAAATGAAATTAAAGATCTTAGTAAGTACTGCTGTGACAAGTATGATGTGATCTGGCCGGTCAGTAGCAGTCAAGAATGTGGCTGAATAAACAGGTTGCCCATCGTGCGGTCTCAAAACCACAAGTGGTGATGCCTTGTGATCCTCCCAAATCTTTATCTGTCACACAAAATGCAGTTCATTAGAAACCTCTTTTAATTTCTAAGAAAAGTAAAAAAATCAATAGAAATAATCACAAGGCACGCACAAACAGGCAAACACGGCATGCAAGAAAATGTCTCCTAAATTGCTATCAGTTCAAACTGGAATAAAAGCTTCATGACCAATAAATCCAGATAACACTAAGCAATATCATGGAGGAGAAACTCAATGCTTCAGTTTCTTCAAAAAACTGCTGTTTGAGTTATGCAGAATAAACTTTTTTGGACTACGGCAAGAGTTTAGTATGGATTTTATTTCTCCTGCTCAAATGATTGATAAAAGAGGCCCACTCTATGGTGTTTCTACACACAACTCCACCCAGGACATCCACGTTTGTGCTTCTATGAGGGTATCTTTGCTTTCTCTTAACAATTTCATCATCCTTTTATATACTGGAGTGACAAGCAATGGACATAGAGAAAACCTAAATTAGCACATCAATATATTGCGTAAGGAAATTAGACATATAACTACAAAAAAACACAACTTCAAAATTCCTATTACAGAAGGATACCAAAGAACTCATGCGTGCCATTTAATCAATAATTTTCAGAGAGAAATAAGTGATAGTTGCATACAGAACTATAAGTATTGAGTGCAACAAAAGATAAAAACAAATACAAACCGTGCCATCCATAGAAGCAGAAACCGAACGGGTGGTCATCCATTGGCACATTGACAAATCAGTGACTTCTCCATCATGTTTACCAACAAATTGGACCCCATCAATCAGCTTGTCAACAGGACATTGAAGAGGTGCCTCAGAGGAATGGACTTCACCCCTTCCTACTTTGTTAGTATCAATTCTCAGAACTCTTTTACCAACTCCAACTACCAAAATTTCCTAATAAAAAATTGAAAGTATGAGGTCATAAGCAATGTGACAAAGCAACTTCGCGAACAAGAGAAACAGTACAAGCACCACATAAAAAGAGTAGTACTATAGAAACTCTTTCATAGATGATAAACAGTCAAAGAAAGTCATACCTGTTTATAGCAATGCCAACAAACCCTTGGGTTTTTAATTTCCCCCTCCCCAACTATTTGGACAGAAATAATAGTCTTTCCTGTAATCTGTGGCTTATCTTCCTCATCCGGACCTTCAGAGAGCTTCCACACATTAACCCGTCCATCTATGCCAGCACTGCACAAAAGCAAGTCAAATAACTCAAAGGCCAAAAAAAAAAAAAAAAAGGAGGAGGAGGAGGAGGAGGAATCATGGTAATACAAAAGGAATGCTACCTAGCCAAAAGATGAACATCCTCAGCAAAGAAAGCCATGTCAGTGACCCTCTAAAAGAACAAAACACAAAACTTAGATAATAATAATAATAAGCAGAGGAAATCAACAAGCAAATTTAACAAACCTTCATCCTCACTTTAAAAAAAGGTCTATTCAGTAAAAACTAAAAACATAACACATAAAATCACCCAAATCAACTTCATTATCAACATTGATCATATCACGTCATACAGATCCGCAATTGCAGCAATGACACCACTTATGGTAATGAATTCTTACAGCAATAACAACAATAACAGTTAACAACACACCGAAAAATTCAATGAACAAAAACCCCACAGCATCTACATTGCATTCCAATCTCACAAAAGCATAACTTATAGTCATTTCCACAACACCACAGAAAAAACCCACATGCATTATCAAAATTGGTAAAAACTAAAAACATAACCTACAAAATCCCCCAAATCTCATAACCTACAAAATCCCCCAAATAAACTTCATTATTGATCATATAATGTCATACAGATGCGCAATTGCGGCAATGACACCACTTATGGTAATGAATTCTTGCAGCAATGGCAATGACACCACTTATGTTAATGAATTCTTACAGCAATAACAGACAACAACACACCGAAAAATTCAATCACCGTAAACCCCACAGCATCTACATGCATTCCAAACTCGCGAAAGCATAACTCATACTCATTTCCACAACACCACATAAAAAACACACATACGTTATATCACCAAAACACTTGAACACCCCCAAAAAACTTAATGAGATACAAGAATTAAAGAAAACTAACCTGAGACTGAGTCCGAAGCAAAGACCTCAGCGCGGTATTAATATTAAGAATCCTAATAGTCCCTTGCTTCAACCCATAACAAATATAACTCTTATTGACAGCAATTTGCCTTCCTAAACACAACTGAGGATCCGAAAAGTACTTTGTTATTGGCGTAACTTCAAGCTGCGGTTGTGCCTCTCCTTGAAGTCTAACATCCACATCATACACTACATCCTCACCTACTACCCTCCTTCCCTTAGGCACCTTGCTACTAGTACTACTAGGCATCCTAATAGGCCCCAAAGCATTATTATTAAGACCCCTGGAAAATTCTTGCACAGGCGGCATCGGTGGCAGTGGTGGCGGTTCTTGATTTTGAGGGGGGCGGAGGAGGGCCATGATTTCGGCACCAGAACGGTCCTGGTGTTGTTGGTTAGGGGTGACAGGGGGTGTAGGATAAGAGAGGGAACGTTGGGGTAGCATGTTACCAGGAGGTGGTGGGTTGTTAGGGTTAGGGTTTTGCTGGGGAGGGTAAGAAGGTTGAAATTGTTGTTGCTGTTGCTGCTGCTGTTGTTGCTGTTGTTGTTGGGGTGGGAAGGGAAAAGGAAAGTTCGGATAGTTAGGGAAGAAGTGGGCCCCAGTAGACGCAGGATAGGAGGAGGAAGGGATTTGTTGGGGCGGAGGAATCATGAGATTAGGAGGAGGAGAAGGAGAGGAGGGGAAGTTTTGGGGAGGTGGCGATGGGGCGGATGTGGGCATGAAGAATTTGTGCATGTCAAAAGGAGGTTGTGATTGTGATGGCGGCTGCTGCTGCTGTTGTGGAGGATTTGGAGACGCCATGAAGGGAAGGAAATCGAGGGAGTGAAGAGGTGAGGAGTAAGAAAAGAGGGAGAAAATGGCGGTGAGAGAGGAGGAAGAAGAGGGTTTTTGGGGTTTTTTTGGGTTTGAGGACAAGGTGGAAAAAGTTATTTGTAGAGGGTCGAGAAATGTGTTTTGGGAAAATGAAGGACTTTAATGGATAATATTTGTTTAAAGAATTTTAAATTGTAAAATACTTCTTGGACTTCACTGAAAAACTACATATTTTTCCGAACTAAAAAAATTCTTGATTTTGCTTTTTAAATAATATGATTTTTTAAATTTGCTTCTTATCGTTAGGTTTTTATTAAAAATTTGACAAAAAAATCCATAAAAATCCTCACAATTTTATCTTTTTTTTTACCAACTTGGAAAAATATGTTTACTAATAAATAAATAAATAATAGAGAAGAATTTTAAGGAATTTTTTGTCAATTTCTCAATAAAATCTTAATAAAAATAACAAATATCAAATATTATATTAGATTTACCTCATATTTGATTTCTTTATCGCTAGATTTTTTTATTAAAATCTTTATTTTTTTATTTGATTGAAAACCCTTTATTCTTAAATTTTTTTAATTCCGGGTTTTTGTAAACTGTTCATCTAATATGTAGTACGTTAAAATTCACAACAACAAATTATAAATATACAAAAAAAAAAAAAAAACTAAGATTTAAAATATTTTTATTACTAAACTAATATTATTTAAAAATAAATAGAAAAATACAAAACTGTCGCCCACCCCATTATCCCAACCCAACTCATTGTTTTGGAAGTGCCGATTTCATTCCACCGCCCACGACTCCTTCCTCCTTCCTGCCCCAAAAAGTGGTCGGAACTGGAATTTGGAAGTACTGATTCCATCTTTACAAGACTCTAAAATCACAAAAGGCAGTGAAAATGGAAATCTATTAATTGAATCATAACATTTACAGTAAATTGATCCAAACTCTTCAATTCCATGGCTATATTTCACATTTCTAGATCAACCATCTTTACCTGCAAATTTCAACCTCTGCTTCGCGGGTTGGTTGTGAGGGAATTGGCTTGGCTGGATTATGATTAAGTAGAAGCGTAATTGATCTGGGTTTGTGTTTTGTAGCTGAATTAGGTTGTTGGTGATGAAGTTCTTTGGGTGTAAGTTAAAACCCATAACAAGTATTAGCAATTGGGTTGCTTGTAAGTTATGGTGAAGTGAATTTTTTATCGAGTTAATTTCACTGAGATAAATGATCAGGGTTTGTATCAGTTTAAAAAGAAGAATAAAGATTGAGGTAAGACGAAAAAAAATGTATTAGATATTACCAGAATTTGTTTAATGGTGGTGAATTTGGTGGCTGTGGTTTGTGGCTGCGGTGGTTTGAGAGAGAGGGAAAAGGTGGCGAGAGAGAGTGGTTGATGATGATGATGTTGAAGATGATGTTTTCCACCTAGTTCTTCTCCATTTCTGGTAATGGCAATGGTCTTTCTCTTTTAATTGAATGCATTCACGCCAACCGAGAAGAAGCGTGGAAGACGTAAGAATTGAACAAGATTAAGAGAGAGAGGGAGAAGAAGCTTTTAATTCAAGAAAGAGCAGGGTTATTGAGATTTTAGTGATTCAAGGATTCAAGGACAATGTTGTCTTTTTCCAATTATTTTTAAAACTAAATATTAGTTTATTAATGAAAATGTTTTAAAATTATTATATTTTAATTAGGGATGAGAAATTATTATATTTATGTATGATTAGTTGTGGTTAATTTTAATATATCACTTAACACAATTATAATATAAAATTCGAATTAACAAATTTAAAAAATAAAGAGTTAAGACAGATAAACAATTGAATGTAAGTAAACAAGTCCAAACCCAGAAGAACTCTAACAAAAATCATTAGGTACGTTTAGCATTATATCTCGTCCTCTTAAAATATAAAAAAATTATTATGAAAATAATTCATAAATCCTAAGTTTTTTTAAGAGAGAGGAGTATATTATGGTTAGAAAAAGAATTCTACTCGTATAATCAAAGAGTCTATAGTTCAATAATATTAGTTTATTTTATCAAAAATTACGAATTTAAATTTTAACAGATTAATTTTATTATAAATCGTGTTGGATGTGTGAGTTATAAATGAAAAAAGAATGTTAAAAAAAAATAAACAAAGAATTTTACTTTTACAATGGATATACAATTTGAATCCTACTACACCAATAAGATTGAGAAATTTTATAATACATCAGTGAGTAGCTCAGTAGTATGTACGATAGTTACTCCAATTAGCTCACTTTAAAGAGAGATGAACACAAAAAAAATAGTAAAATTACATCCGTATCCACCAAAAGCGATAAGAAAATTTTCTCGTCCGCTCAAAATTGTTTATTTTCTCTTTTTTTGTCTATCTTTTTTTTAAAATAAACCCATGAAATAACTATTGTAGATACTACTAATTACTTCGAACAATACAACCAGTTAATATTTTGATATCACAACTAATCCAACAAAGCAATGACTCTTTCCCCTTACAAAAAATTGTAAAAAACACACAAACTTTTTGTTTTGTCACTATAAACAACTGGAAAAATTTCGCTCTTTATTATTACTTTCCTTTGAAGCGAAAGCCACTTCTCCACGATCCACATAACGTCCAAACTCTTCTCATCAGCCGAAAACCAAAACCCACCACCCTACACCACATCGCTTTCACGTTTTCAATATCTCATCAAAACAAACCACCCTACCTCTGGTTTTTTTTTTATAAAACTGCCTTATTTCGCAGCAAAAACAAGTCCAGATCCAAGAAAACCCTCGCCAAGAAAGATGTGTTGTGGAAGTAGAATGTGCATGCTGTGCACTTGTGTGATACTAGTTGTGATCTTGATTGGTTTAGCCTTTGGTTTTGGAGTTTTCAAGAATGGGTTTCATAAGGTGAAGGATCATCTTGATGTTTGTGATCCCAATGCTATTGGCTCACTTTGTGGTGGTGGGAAAGCTTCAAGGCCTTTCCTGGGTTTCCCAGCTCCTCCTCCTGGCCCTTTCTAGGGATAAGAAGAATTCTCTTATGGGTTGTAACTGTTTTAGGAGTTTGTGATGTGATTATTTGTTGGTTTATTTTTTTATTGAATTTTTAAGTATCTTGGTACAGTGTGTTTCTTGATCTGGTCTGCATGTGTATGACAGTGGCTTTACTTTAATTGAATTCTATCTTTTGATGTTTTGCAATTGTTAATGATTTTGATGGTGCTGCTTAGAGATTCGGTGGCTATGGCCGCTCAACCAATGGTTGAAGAAGAACCGCTACAGTTGGTTGCACTTTTATCTCACTGTTTGGTTTGGATAAATGACTTAAAAACAAACACTTTTGAACAATCTTTAAGATTATCGCATAGAACTCCGAGTTTCATACGCCGTTACTGTCGGAAAAACTGTTTGACCTTAGTGACGTCGAAAAAACTGTTTGACGTGGTGATCAATGTCTCTGTGTGCAAAAATCTCCATGTGCGATCAAATCTGAAAAACCTTCAAAAGTTCATGATGCTTTTTTAATCGTGGATGATTCAAGCTGGGGCCAAGGTTACGAAGAGCCAGGATTAGGTATAAAGGGTAAAATATTAGACCTAATCCAACAAGAATGGAAGGCCCAATTTTACTAAGGTTAGAAAACTATAGCCCGATCCAAGCTTTCTTTCTATGGGGATTCTTGGAGGGTTAACACGTGACAAGTTGGAGTGTGCCTTTTCTTTTCTTTTGTTTTTTTTTGGCTTTAATTATGATGGGAAAAAGTAAACATCACCTTGCCAAACTTTTCAATACATAGAACCCATGGACGAAGGGGAGGAATCTTGTAAAAGCCAAATCAAATTCGGATGGAAAGATATTACACGTCATATTTCAGAATTAATAGAAAGAGAGTGATAAGTTTATATAAACATCATAAGAACTAATTAGACACCATAAGAATAATCAGTTATATTCTTGATAAATTCAAAGGATGAACGCCACAAGAATAATTAGTTCTTGATATGTTGAAAAAGTTCTTGAAATAATCAAGGTGAAACTACCTTGTTTTTGTTAAAAACCGAAGCTATCTAAATTCGTACATATCAAAGCTTCTTTATGGACTAAAACAATACAAAACCCTAACAATCTAATTATGTCCCAATTCCTAAAATGTATAAATCTCCTAAGATAAAGGAGAATATCTTATTCCTAGTTGTCAAATTAAAAACATTCTTAAATAATAAATTCGGACCGGTTCAATTAACGAATTTAAAAACCCAATAGCTAACTAATAATAAGTATAATCAATTCAACTTGAAGCTTGGATTAGATCGATAATGTTTAAAGCCTCCCTTTCTTGGAAAAAATTGCCAAGTCCTTCATAAGTGTTGGACATGGCCTTAGTTGCACACTTGGCCCAATTTGCTTGTACAAGTCCATTGAGAGTCTCTTTTAGCTTATTGGCCTTAACCCGCATGATTGAATCTCCTCCAATACACGATGGATCAGCTTATATCTTTGATGTCGTTTTAATTTATTGGAATCTCATTAATACGAGTGTTGACTTTCTTTATATTCATCATCAAATTAAAAACATGCTTAAATAACAAATTCAAGCTAGTTCAATTAATAGAATTTAAAAGCCCAACAATTAATCATTAATAAGTCTAATCAATACAACTTATAGCTTGGATTAGATTGACAATGTTTAGAGGCTCCTCTTCTCGGAAAAATTTGTCAAGTCCTTCATAGGTGTTGGACGTGGCTTTAGTTGCACGTTTGACCCAACTCGCTTGTATAAGTCAATTGAGAGTCTCTTTTAACTTCTTGACCTTAACCATGTGATTAGATATCCTCCAACATATAATTGATCGGATTGCATCTTCGATGTTGCTTTAATTTATTGGAATCTCATTAATATAGTGTTGACTTTCTTTATTTTCATCATCAAAAATATTTTCATTCATTTCGTATGACCTGTGATAATTTTGTATTTTCAATCATACTCGATCACTATATTTAAACGAATTATTTATTTATTATAATCTTTTAAAATATTTGAATATGCAATGACAATGTGTATACCAAATTACATAGATTTAATTATGCATTTGAGCGCATATGATACACAAAATTGTGGTGTGATTGGAATTCAAACTTATTCTTAAAAGTATGTGTTTATGGCTAGTGCAATGACTGTTGAAAACACAATGGATCGACTTTTGCAATTGGAATTTGGAGGACGTACCATAAGTCTTGTCATCCATGTCACAAACCCCCACGCACTATCAGAGATGGCAGAGACTGGATTGAATAATTTGGTGCCTTACCAACTCATCCCTTGTTCTTTTTCCTCCCAAATAGACACTCCCACGTGTATATTTTTTTTGTTTTGTTTACGATTATCTTATCACATAAAATAAATAAATAAATAAATAAAGTAAAACGTAAACAATTTATTATATTATTTAAAATATTGTTTATCTAAATTTATTCGTACTTTTGTCCCAAATTTAGATGTGTTATTCATTTTACTATGTAGTAGTATTTTTATAGTTTTTAAATATTTTTAAGAAATTTGTTATGAAAATTTTCGTGACATTATATTTTATTTTTTAAAATATTATTTTTTTTAGTTCGTAAATATTTTTTGTTTGATTTTGATTTTTCCTTTTTATGTCATTTTGGTCACTTTAGTCCTTTTTTCTTCTATTTTTTAATAAAAAATTTAATGTAAAATAATATTTTAAAAAATAATTTAAAAAATAATTTTTAGTTAAGAATCCATTGATTTTGACATTTTTATACTATTATAAATTTTTTAGTTTGTAGATAGAAATAAATAATAATATTTTATTAATAAAAAAATTATGAAAAATATAAAGAATAATCAATAAAATACAAAATTTTGATTAAAAATTATAAAATTCAATAAATTTTATTCAATATATATATATATATATATATATATATATATATAAATCAAAATAATTTTGATATATATATTAAAGCTGATTATGAAAAAAACTAGAAAAACATCTAAGCTATAATCTTTTGTTACTAAAAAACAGTCCAAGTGAAAATCTCATACCTTTTGATGTCAACTCAATTTGCTTTCTACATTCGTGATTTTAGGTTCCAATTTAAACTTCTAACAATTTAGTTCCCAACCCATATATCTATTCTCAATTAGATCCCACACATGCACGAATTTCTCAATTGGATCCTTTCATCATTTTTTGTTAATATTTTTCATCTAATGTGCATAATTTATGCAATAAAACAACATTTTGAAGAAAATCTGATGTACAAGTTAGTAAACATTATTGGAAGGACTTGATGATGGAGAGTTGTTTAAAATATTTGGGACCAATTTATAGAATTTCTCTTTTTAAACTCAATTTAGAGATTTTGAGGACAAAAGATTATAATAAAAATAATTTTACAAAAGATTATAATAAAAATAATTTTACACTTGTTCTTTATAATTATCAAAAGCAAATACATCTATCGTATTTTTTACTCGTGTGTCACTTGTAAAAGATTTCTTCTAAATTAAGTAAGAAGACAAAACAAATAGAATCAAGAGATTCAAAATTTAAAATCATTTGAAATTTATAGACTTTAAGATGTTTTATTTTTATCATATTATTTTTACAATAACTTAGTTTTTAGATAAAGTTAGAATAATTTTTCTAATATACGTCAAAATTATATTATTTTGCAGAAAATTTGATGGCCAAGTTACTAAACATTAATAGAAGGACTTGATGATGAAGAATTGGTTAAAAAGTTTGAGATCCAATTTACAGAAATTTTATCTTTTGAACTCAATTTATAGAATTTCTAGGTTTCGGACCTAATTAGAAATGAGTATGTAAGGTAGTGACTAAATTAAGGTTTACCGAAAAGTTATAAACATCTTAATCCAAATCCTTAATTAGAAATGCCAAAACCAACTTCTCTCACAAGTAACGAGAAAAGCAAAGCATTATAAAACTGAAAATCTCAAAGCCGAAAGCTGAAAAGTCTCAAACTTTATCTAGAAACCCATCTCAACTCTGGTCAACAAAATCGACAAAAGCCCACCTTCTTCTCCTCTAAGAAACCTCGAGCTCTTTGCAACCTCAAATACAAACACTAACTCCTACACAAACACAAACCTCAAAAACCCAGAAGAGACCCAATCCTATCAAAGAAAAACTAAGAAAGATGAGAATCACGGTAATGACAGCAGATGAACAGATCATATCTCTTGAAGTTGATCCTCATGAATCTGTAATAATTAATCTGTAAACCCCATTTGTTTATTTCATTCATTTAAATAATACACATGCTCAACATTATTTTTTTATTTGATTGCAGGTTGAGAATGTGAAAGCTTTACTTGAAGTAGAGGTGAAAGATCTTTTTTTTTTTTTTTCCTCTTATTTGTATAGTTAGAGGAATTGGGTTGCTCGAAATTTGTAATCTTTTTCAATGTTTTGAAAAACCCAATTCAAATTCGTTCATTCTTTGCTGTATGTATCTTTTGTGAAGTGTAATTATTGAAAAATTTTGTTTCTTTATTGTTATTATTGATTCTGTATGGTGTGAGAGCACCTGGAGTTTTGAGCTTTTCCATTTTTTGAATCTAATTCACCTTAGTTTTACACTGGACCACGAATTGTATAGTTTAATTTGAAGCGTCGTAATTGTGCAATTTTGGGTTTGGATTCAAAGTATTGGTTTTTGTTTTTTAAATTTTGTTTTGTTTTGATGTGTGAGTAGACACAGGTGCCACTCCAGCAGCAGCAGCTGCTATATAATGGGACGGAGATGAGGAATAATGATAAATTAAGTGCATTGGGTGTCAAGGATGAGGATTTGGTCATGATGGTCTCTAATGCTGCTGCTATTAGGTATATGCACCTTTTTTTGTGATTTTCTTACCTATTAAGTTGCTTGCACAGATTGGCCTCTCTTGTTTCTTCTTGGAATTTTGGAACATTGTCTAGGTCTTTCGTAGTTTGGTAGCTTTCAGATTGACCGCTTTTGTGATTCACGGAATTTTAAATGTTGGTTTAGTTTTTGTAGTTTGTTATCTTAGTTATGCATCCGTCCATTCAGTATGGGCATTGGTGATCACAACATCAGTATAGTTGTGTACATTGTTTCGGCATTCAAACTTTCCTGCTGAATGATAACAATTGCAAATTTCTTTCAGTGCCCCCTCCAATAACTTGGGCTTCAATCCTGATGGATCTGCTGTGAACCCTGGAGCTTTCCAGCAGCACCTTCGAGGTGATTCTAATACAATGGCTCAACTATTCCAGGTAAGATGGATGTTTTTTTTTTTCCCTCAGTTTTGCCTTTCACCCTTCTGAATCAGGACTACCGTGCAATTTCATGTTGATTTTAAGGTTTAGGCCTGCAATCTGATAACTGAGTTCTCTGTTGAAAGTAGTTTCATTGTTGGCCTGTCTAGAGTGTTTGTTGCATGTCTCCTAATCCTTTTTTTTACTATGGTATGATAAGTGCATTTTATGATGCTATAAATTCATATGGAACTCAACAGGCTGATCCTGAACTTGCCCAAGCTATTCTTGGAAATGATCTCAACAAACTTCAGGACCTTCTTAGGCAACGCCATCGCCAAAGATCTGAATTACGACGTCAACAAGAAGAGGAATTTGTGAGTACTAGCGTTCTTGGTGGTTCACTACCTTATTTGTCCTTCATGCCCTTTTATCTTAAGAAAAACATTCCACCATATAATTATGTTATTTTAATTACAAATTGATTGTAATGTTGATTGAAGAAGCTGATTTACCTACACTCCCTCTGGTTTGCCATAGGCTCTGCTTGAAGCAGATCCCTTTGATGTCGAGGCACAGAAGAAAATTGAAGCTGCCATTCGTCAGGTGAGTAGTATTTAATTCTTTAATTCTTTAATGGTAAAGGAGTTGGCATCAACTTACTAAAAGTTTTTCCTTCTGTATTGTTTTGCCAACAGCGACTGCACAACTAATAAGAAGTCAAGAATGTGGTTTTTTTATTGTCTAAAGTTTTAGAAATCGACTTTTTTTTCAAAATGAACAATTGGATATATGCTATGCAAGGACATGATCTGTGTCTGCCCCCTCCTTTTCTGTGAGGGGAATTCTTTTGAGGGTTGGAATAAAGCGATATAGTATTTTGGTTTTAGTTTCCACTTAAAGGCAGGCATGTTCTTTTTTTTTTTTTTTTTTTTTCAGATGCTTGTTCTTATTTCTGTCTGTTTTGATGTTTTCCATTCCTGCTAATTCCAAATGCAGAAAGGAATTGATGAGAATTGGGCAGCAGCCTTGGAATACAACCCTGAAGCTTTTGCCAGGGTGGTATGTATGCTTTTCAACCTTATGTACTGCAATTGAAGTTTGATTATTGGCTTTTAAATCTCAAGTTTCTTCTTCGACTTTTCAGGTTATGTTGTATGTTGACATGGAGGTTAATGGTGAACCTTTAAAGGTAGAGACAATCTTGTAATCTTCTTTAAATACGTAGTGTTTGATGTGTTGTCCTTGTATTCTTTCAAAGTAGTCATGATTTTTTTTTTTAATATATTCCTAAAACAGCTCACGTCATAGACTAGGACCACCACTAAATTTTTCTGCACAGTTCGAATCAGTTTTCTCATGTGGGCATTGAGCTTATGTGATCGTGACTCAAGCAAAACTTTTAGACATACCCATTTTTCTTTTTGTTTCAGGCATTCGTTGATAGTGGTGCTCAGTCCACAATAATTTCAAAAAGCTGTGCTGAGCGATGTGGGTATGTGCTCTTCTTGTGCATTTGTTCCTTTTCTATTGGTCAACTTTTAAGGTTACATGGTTGGATCGATAAATTTGAGATATAAGCCTACCCAATTCGTTTATGTTTTCTTGTCAAGTTATCTCTTAAATAGCAATGTTGGTTTCAACTGGTTGCATTTTTCTAATTAGCATTATTTTGATTCTATCGACATATGTTCCTTGCAGTTCTTTATCATTAGTGATGTAGATGTTATGATTCACATACTTGCAAGAGATTAACATGGAGGGTAACCTGTTTCGTTGATGGCATGTCTATCAGATTGTTGAGACTTCTAGATCAACGTTATAAAGGCATTGCTCATGGAGTTGGACAGTCAGAGATATTGGGTCGTATTCATGTAGCTCCAATCAAGGTACATCATTGGGGAATCATTTCTTGCTTAAAGGCACGAGTGTTCATACATGCAGTTTCTAGTTACCGTCATTTAGTTTGTGTACATACTTGTTTAAATGTACGTGTATTTGCACAGACACTTGTCTTTGTATAAGGCTATTTTAACTGTTTTCTTTTATCATTTTCTAATTACTTTTAACATGATAAATGAGTGAGAAACAGCTATTTATCAATTCTAATCTCTAATACTGGCTGTTTGTTTGTATATGGATGCTTGACCACTCCTTACTCTTTATCACCTTTTCTTTGGGATTTATGTTTTGATATTCAGTAGTTAACTTCTTTTGCTTCTCTCTCCATGTGTATCTCCATTATCTTTTTACAAAACTTTGTACAGTCCCTAAAATTGTTCAAGGTTATTGGGCATGCATACTTTGACGTGCATGCAGATTTTTTTATCTCTTTATGCTCATATTTTTCCTTGGTATGACTGAGTCTTGCACCTCTCTGTTTAACTGAATGCTTCTTGTGCTATCTTTTGCTCACTATGTTTTACTGTTGCTCTCAACATATTATGCTTAAAGCTCATTCTAATTTCTTCGTTTTCTTCTTTTTATTCCTATAGATTGGGAATATATTTTATCCTTGTTCCTTCATGGTATTGGATTCTCCTAACATGGAATTCCTCTTTGGGCTTGATATGCTGCGCAAGCACCAGGTAACATCATCACTTTGTCTTATTATCGACGACCATTTGGACCTTTGACTGCTGAAGTTTACATGGATGAATTTGTTCTAATTTTAGCGAGTTCATGCAGTGTATTATTGATCTAAAGGAGAATGTTTTGAGAATGGGTGGTGGGGAAGTTTCTGTACCATTTTTGCAAGGTTGATCTTTCTATCTTTGCATTTGCTTGCTATTTTGTAACGATGACCATTTCTTCTATTTGCTTGATTTCTTCTGGTTATTTGACAAAGCATTTAAGTCATGGTCAGTTCCTTTTGCACTTGAGAACTTAAAAGTTGTGTTGCTTCAGAAAAAGACATTCCGTCTCGTTTTCTTGATGAAGGAAGGTATTCAAAAGAAGCATCCAGCTCAGGGAACCCAGTAAGTGTTGTCTTAATTATATGCTATTACTGAAAGATATCCTTGTAAACTGATAGGTAGCTATTCAATCTGATTTTATGACCTGTGCTCGAACACTAAAAACATCCTACTCTTTGAGCCAGTTGTATACTTCAATTGTGGATAATTTCTGAAACGGACACTATATTTGTATCCAAGGATATAGTTGTTTATATAGTTAACTGACGTTCTTGATGGGATTATTTTATTTTGCTTGTGAAACAAAAATAATGGGCTTTACAGAAGAGAGACGCTTAGAATTAACATTGGATTCCTGTATTTCAAGCAATACCTAGGAATTTTACAGAAGATAGAAGCTAGGAATATTATTTGGTTATTGTGAATTGATGCTGACATCTGCTGCTAATTTAAAAGCTAAAGTTTTGACATTGATCCATCTTGATTTTTCAGGTGACATCAGGAACAACAGAGAAAAAGAATGATCCACCAGCCGGAGGTCAATCTTCTGGTTAGTTCTTGTGATATGATATATTGTCTGGGATATTGCCTTCTGCTGTTATTTTCATTATGTATTACTGGTTCAGTTATACATAATCTAACTATCGGTTGGGTTATAAATTACTTGATTTTAGTAGCAATCATTATAGGTCTGTCTTAGATTACCTAGGTGGTCAATGAATACGATTTTCACAAGGTAACTAAAACTTTTCTTCCTTCTGTGTTCCTCAGGAGTTGCACGCGGTGGTGCTACACAGGTAAGAATCGACATCTGGTTCATCTTCTGATTTGCTTCCTGTGGGAAATTTAGTCTCTGCTTTTACTTGAACAGTTGTTTCCTTCAGTATTCTCAAGTTGATCATGGATTCTGTTAAACATGCCTCTTCATCCATCTTAACGTATTCACTTTATCAGCCAATTTTTAATGTCATTAATAGTTCTCACATATTGGCTGACCAGGGACCTGACTTTGAAGCCAAAGTTGCAAAGCTTGTTGAGCTAGGGTTTGGAAGAGAGGCAGTTGTACAAGCTCTTAGATTATTTAATGGAAATGAAGAACAGGCTGCTGGGTTTCTTTTCGGTGGCTGAAGATAACTTTTATTCTTTCAACGATCAAACGATCATTCATTATGGGAAATATTATTCATTTTGGTAATCCAGTGACTTTACAAATTGAAGAAACTTTGTATCAAACTGGATTTGATCCAAACAATCTATAGCCTCAAGAAAGTCGTGCAATTCTTATCAAATGGCCCTAAACTCGGTTTGATTCTCTTGGTTTTCAACCTTTTACTTTGTCTTTAACTGGCAATTGCTGCTCGTTTACATCAACCATAGAAGAATTTTCTTCTGGTAGGTTTCTTGGATTACAAGGATATAGTTTTACATCTCATATGATGAGGGCAATCCTGTGTTTTTTAACATCTCACTCTAAAACCAGAGATGATCACTTCGGAGAATTAAGAGATTCGAGATAAAATGCCCTTGTTTTTAGCCTCTTGAAATTGTTACGAGAAAGAAAATGTTGCCTTTTGTGCATCATGAGATGAAATTTCTTTCTTGCTGCGCGATTTCCTGGAAATTGCAAATGTTTTAGTGGCCATTTTTCTTATTGTCTTGATCCAAAGCACCAGATTCGTGAAGTAATAGTTTTTCTTTTGAAGTGATTTGCATTGAGTTCTAACGTTACCAAATGTAATCAGTTTCCTAACAATCATGAATACTCACTTAACTAAATGGCCATGGACCCTTTCAATTGACAACATTCCCTAATAGATACTCACAAGCAACGATGCAATTGTGGGTTAAATAGCGGGAAAATTTCAAGAATCCCAAATTCTGATTTCTAAAGTATTCCATTTAGGAGCAAAATTGCTGATGAAAGAAAAGCAGGGAGATAAGCCATAAATACTTTGTTGATTTATGGTTCTAAAAGATTCCACATGAAAAATAATGCACCACGAATAGTTTGAGTAAGAAGCTTAAACTGAATAGCATTAAGCTGTTAACAACAAATTCATTGATACAAAGCCAGCCATTGGCACAGCAGTAAGCGGATACGGAGCTAAATCCACTGGCAATTTCAAATGAAAAATGAATTCCTTTATAGCGAATAGGTTTTTGATAGCTGATACAACATTCCCCACGCAAAAATTTCATGCCAAATTACACTTTGGTACTCAGCATCACAAAAAACACATGTAATCTCAACTCTCTAAGCAACACAAAGAAATATGATTAAAATCTCTCTGCCAATCTAGCCGTAACTTGTCTAAGCTTCGAGTATACCTTTCCAGCAGGGGACCCTAAAATGAGGCTGCAAAGAGAATCCCTTGCAACTTTGATGTTTTGAAAAGATCCTAGTATGTGAATCTTTGTGTCGGCAATCACAATCCTTGTCTTGGTAGCATTCTCAATGGCAAACTTTGTTTTGCCACCTTTACCAGACAGTCTTCCGATGGCACGAGACAAATGCTCACCTCGAAGAGTTTTAACATCCTTGATTTCAAAAGATTCAACATAGAGCTCATCGAGACGCAAAAGAGCAATGGCATCTATCACATCAAAACCTAGCATAAAAGCATGCACAAAATCTGCACACTTTTGTAGGTTACTCACGTCAGGCGTGTCTGATCTAGTTTTCAATTCAACCTTTCTGGCTTTGAGGTTCATACGAATATCAATCTTCATTTGCTCATATATTGGAGTGTAGATTTCCATCCATGCTTTCTTAAGAGGCGAATACCGATGTGATGGAACTGAGACTTTTCTAAACTGAACTTGACCACCAGACATCTCATGAGCCTTCAAAGGCTCAAACTTTGGCTTTGAAGGCAAAGCCCCAAGAGACTTCTTGTCTTGTTGAGCTATCTCAACTTCCATTGATGCAGGGGCTTCGCTAGACTGCATTCTGACTGCACCAAGTTCTGCTTCAAAAGATAATAAATAAAAAGTTTGATTTATGAAAACAAACTCAATAAAAATAAACATAATCGTTCAATTTGCTTTAACACCACGATTTCAAACATTCAGATTGAAATAGACATTGAATTTACAGAACAACAAAAATTGAGATATTAGATACCAGTTCAAGAAAGAATCATCTTCAATTTTCTCAAAAAACCGAAGGAAAAAAAATCAGAACCAAGTGTATCAATTTACCACACAAAACAATACACAAAATTAATAGTATTAACCATTAAATCAAACTATAATTCTCAAAGTTTCATTTATTTCACAAGCTAAAAAAAATTTGACCAATGAACACACAGAACCTCAAAAACCAATTTAAGGTATCACTCTAAAGAACCCACCAAACAAATGCTTCGAAAGTTGTCATCTTTCCATAGAAAGTTTAGATTTTTCCCATCCACCAAACAAACAAAGCAAGCTTAAAAACGATCCAAACTCGACAAAAGATTTAAAAAAAATTAAAGAAAATCCCAATAAGAAATATTACAACGAAAAAAAGAAGAAGAAGAGAATTTACCTTTTAAGTTTGCTACTATGAAATTAAGCGCAGTCTCCTTGCAATCTCTCTCTATCTCTGTCTTTGGCGTTGCAAAGCTTTTAACTTTCTCCAAAGGGTTCTAGATTAGGGTTTTTATCTATTAAAAAGACCACGCCACGTCCGGATATTCCAGACTTTTAAATGCTTGTAAATACTACGCCGTTTTGTGTAATTTTTTTGGCTGAGTGGGCTTGGGCCTACTTTACGCCTAACTTGTAGATCCAAACTTGGCTTCATACTTCATGCTTGATACGGAGGATGCCAAATTTGGCTAAATTGTAGCAATATTGTGCTTTAGATCCTTATTGAATTCACATTCGCAAATATTTTCTTTATTCTATTTTTTATTTGTAATAAATTAAATATTATTATATGATATTAAATTATTAAAAATATATAAATTAAAATAAATTTATTAATGTTAATGCATTCACGGTAATAAATTGTGATGTGATCTATGATTACGTTTATGATTGTTTTTTCAATTATATCCGTCATTCAAAATTATAATTATGTCAAAAACTCAACCTGAATGGACCTCCTCTAGTTTGAATTCATGATATGGGGAAATTGACATGAAAATTAACGGAGTGAAAGAATTGAATTGAATTGAAATTAATGGAAAAGTTAGGTGAAAATACAACTGCGTACTGAAACTGTTATTTACAATGGACATCTATTCTTTTGCAGAAACTTCCATTGTTGTATTCTCTTCACCTTTTGCAATGAACATCTACGCATGCTTCACCACAATAGGACTCTTGACATGGTGGCGGTTGCTGTCTGACCATGTCAGGTGCCCAAATGTGTAGTCTTTCGGCAAGCCATTCATTACAGGCTTAAGAGTAACCTTGAAAATTTTCTCTTCTCCAGCTTCCTTGAATTCCAAGCTTGAAGGTTCAACAACTACTGAAACCTTAGGTGGTGCCCTAACTTTAACTGTGTATGTGCCTGGAGCACCTACATTCTTTACTCGGCGAGTAACAGTTACTGGGCCATTAAGATCAGGAACTGCGATTGAAGGATAGTTGAAGTCAGCGAGACTGGCATTCTCAGGACAATTATAAGATCCACCTGAGAACGCTTCTAGTAAGGTACTGTTGTAGCCATGGGCACATAAGAAGTTAAGGTAATCGATCGCGTTCGTGTCATAAACTAGGCCAGGATCTGCTGCAAGATTTGGATGCACATGTCCTGCACCATATGCAAATGGTGTTGCAGATTTGCCATCAGCATCAAGCATTCTCTTCTTGGTGTTAGATTGTGTTTTTGCTGCAGATAAAGAGCCGAATTTGGTCAATTAGCAGGGCTATAAAAACAAGCTGCACACTTCTGTAATTTTATGATTGACCAAGTTTGTCTAGTTTATGTGGATCGCAAGTATGTACCGGTTGTCATGATTGCAGATTTAACAGCAGCCGGACTCCAATCTGGATGGAGAGCTTTAACAAGGCCAACGATGCCGGTAACATGAGGGCATGACATTGAAGTGCCAGACATGGTGATGTAAGGGGTCCGACGAGTGTCGAACGGTTCTTCAGATGGCCCTATAGCTTCAGTGTAAGCAGCAATTACATCCACCCCAGGTGCAGTGATGTCAGGCTGCAAGAGAATTTGTTCATTAGATATAAAATAGAACAATAAACGGACAAAGAATGACTAGTGAATGGACACCTGAACCAACCTTGAGTATTGCTGGCTCAAAGAAACCAGGTCCCCTTGATGAGAATGCAGCCATCACCGGACTCGGAGCCACTCCTAATTCTGTTTGTGCAGGACCAATTGATGCTGTAGGATTTCTGTTTCGATATGCAGAAAGAGCACATGTAAGTCTCTAATAGTCTTGAAATTCACAGAATTTAGAAGAAAGGGAGCAAACTGTGAAAAAAAGAACGAAAGAGTTGTTACTTGGTCGACTTGATGTACTTCATTACAGCCAGACCATCAGTGTAAGTGATCTGGGCAGCGGGGAGCACATGAGGATCGGACAAAAGTTCAGTGCCGCTTTCTTCATCATTTGCCAATATCATCCCGACGGCACCAGCAAGCTCAGCCTCATGTCCCTTTTGTACTCTCCCGATTATTCCTCGAAGGCACACAACAATTTTCCCAGCAACCTTCTCGCGGTCAAGTGTTCCATTTTGGCAGAGCTGGCTGCATAATTTCATGCAAATTAATGATATGGCTAATATGTTCTACGTTCCTGAATTATGATCTTCATAGATTGGATTGGAGTAGCTACTTACGCATCCTTAGGTTTTGCGGTAGGAAGCCCGGCATCTGCAGCGTTGATCAATGGATAGAATTTTCCAGCTGGTAAGCTTTTACTTGCAACACTCGATCCCTGAACCAGAATAAGGTTGTATGTAACTGATCATTATGTCATAAAATGTATTTTACTTCTAAGTTTTAACAACATTATAGCACGGATAAGGTACGGTAGATCTCTTGTTCTTTACAGGAAAAGATTACCTTGAAAAGCTTCTTGTCGCCAAGCGTAATGGTAGATGTAAACTTACGATCCATTGTACTAGCACCAACAGTGAAAAACCAGGGAGCTGTATTTGCTACGGTTCCATCAACTGGTCCGCTATTGCCAGCTGAAGCAATCACGGAAATTCCTTTTCTGGTGGCATGGAAGGCGCCAATGGCCATTGAATCTTGAAAAAATTCTACAGGGAAACTCGAACCCAGCGACATTGAGATCACATCAACTCCATCACGAATGGCAGCATCAAAGCCTGCCAAGATATCTGCATCAAAGCATCCACCATTATCTGAAGGCCAGCATACCTTGTAGGCAGCTACCCAAGCTTTTGGCGATCCACCTTTCGCAGTTCCATTCCCAATACCGAAAACATTTGCTCCAGGAACAAAGCTACCACCGGCGGTGGATAAGGTGTGGCTTCCGTGGCCCTCGGTGTCGCGTGCGGTGTTCCACTCTGCAGGGATAGGGGTAGGACTTGCAGAAGCAAAACCTTTGTTAAAGTACCTTGCACCAATAAGCTTTCTGGTATAGCACAAAAAAAATGTTCCATTAAAATCTGCACATTCAGTTTGTTTGAAAAACATGATCGAGAAGAGAAAGAGAACGCACTTGTTGCACTTAAATCCTCCACTAGGATCGCAAATTCCCTTCCATTTGGATGGCACAGGGCCCATTCCCTCATCATTAAAGCTCTGGGATTCTGGCCATACACCTATAGCAATGGCATGCAACCAAGAAAGGTAAAAAGAGTATTGCTATTGACAAAGAAACAATATGGACATAGGCAGCAAGTTTTCCCTTGGAACTTCAAGGACATAGCCTTACCAGTATCAAGATTTGCAATGATTATCCCTTCACCATAGTTTGCCTTCTTTTGAAGCGAGTCGAGGGTAGGTACTCCATTTTTTTCAAATCCAACAAATTCCCATGAACGTGTTGTGAGCAACATTCTTTCTTGGTTCTCGAAAACCGATATCACTCTAGGATTACCTACATTTTGTCAACAAAGAAACAATCAACCAGTTTGATCCCCATTTTTTTTTTTTTTTTAAAAAAACAAAGTTGTATCAACTAGAGGAAAAAAACAGAGAAAAGCAGAGCAAAACAGATTATTTGAAACTAAATTTAATCTTACCTTTAAGGGCTGCTACTTGAGCTTCATTGAGGAATGCAGCAAAACCATTGATGCATCTAGTGTAAGAGTAAATCATCAGATCGTCGACACTCTCTTTGCTGCATGAGAACATGACAGTAATGAATAAAGGTTGATAGTTTAATCCAAATTCAAACACTTTTCGGCAAAGCAAACCTGTCCAAGTATGATCCAAGCAGATCAAAATGTGATTTTGTCATTTGTTGTGAATCCAATTCTGATGATGAACTCTCTCCGGTTGAGAATGAGGATAATGAAGGCTCTCCCATGTAAACAATAAAAGACTGCATGAAAGAAAAGAAAAGGCATCAATAATTCCATAACCAAGCTTAGCTCAATAGCATTTACATATATGGCAATGAAGAGGGAGACAGTCTTGCCTTTTGGGCAGCATAAGTAGAAGTCTGAAGGACAGAAATGAGGACAGAAAGAACCAAAGGAGAGAAAATTGATAGCCCCATTTCTCTCTTACTTGCAAAACTTCCTTTCAGAGGGAATTGCAATATGTTCTGTTTCCCCTGTTTTTATACTCTGCTTTTTTTTTTTTTTTTTTTTTAAACTCTGTTCTTTTTCCCATGTTTTGAGGCTTAGTCAAAATTTTCTTTAATATTTTTGGTGTGGACAACCATGGAATCCTGAGTTTTAATGGAAAAGAATTAGTCAAATGTGAACTATTTTGAAGGTCATGTCCTTTGGATGAAGTTTTCTTGACCTTTGAGTTTATATAAATTACCAATCCTAGTTGAGAAAGAACTAGTCAACCTATTTAAAACAACTAATATTTTTCATATGTTCCAAAAAAAGGATAAAAAGAAAAAATAAAAGAGAGAACACAATTAACCAATAAATAAATAAAAATAAATTCCCCCTACTCATGGATTGGCAGCCTAGTGGCTTATGCATGACCATTTTTTAGGCCACCATGTGTTGGATATTTTTGAGAATGAAAATCATTCATGCTAAATAAAGAAAAGAAGCATGTTTCCCTTTAGGCAATCATTGATGAAGGGAACTAATAATAATAATTGATAAAATAAAATCTTTTTTGTTAACTTAAATTATAAAATAATTAATGCTACTTGCGTATGATGGCTTGAGAGATAGCCATAGATGGAGTAAGAAGGCAACAAATTTATTTATTTATTTTATTTTTGATAAAACATGGGAATATAATTTGACTCTTGTTATGTAGACAATTTCAACAAAACCTTTCATTTGAGTTTCATTTGATTAAGTATTTTTGAAATCTATCGAGAGAAAAATATATGAACTTGTCATTGTCATTAATAAGATATATTTATTATTTTATAATTATGACGTATGTTTTAATATATCTTCAATTGTGATTATTAATTTTTCAGAACTATCAATGTAGAACATATATTTTATTATTAATTAAAAGGTTTTGATATAGTTAAAAAGAGTGAGGGGATTTATCAAATACAACTATATCTCAAAACTCCACGTCTTACATTTTCTTTATATTTTTTTAATGTTTACAGGCAGTGGATTGAAGTATTTTCAGAGTAAATGCATTATTTTCTGAATAAATGACGAGATCAGTGTCGAATCACGTCTAGTTTTATTTGATTATAAAGATTTGATTGTTTTGAACTCACCAGCAGCGCATATCCAATGTCACACAAAGGAAAAAAAAGCTTTCTAGGATAAGAATCGAATTCTTGACCTAATAAGTAAATATATATATATATATATATATATCATCATCCAACAAATTCATCTACTTGACTCCTACACAGATAATGAAAGAAAATTAAGAGAAAAAACTCAATTAAAATTAATGGATAGAGTTCAAAAATCGAATAGAATATTGGAAAATGTTGATGAAAGTACATTTGTGCATGTATCAATATGATGTAGGCATTTTTTTTGTTTGCCATGATACACAATTTTTATTTACAATGATCATCTTCTTTTTTGTACAGTTTTTCCTGTCTTGTTCTTCTCACCATTTCCAGTATGATCCACAAAGAGATAATCCCATCTACTCATGCTTCACTACAAGAGGACTCTTGACGCGGTGCAAGCCATCTGACCAAATTAGATGCCCAAATTCATAGTCTTTAGGCATGCCATTCATGATAGGATTTAACGTAACCTTGAAAAGTTTCTCTTCACCAGTTTGCTTGAATTCTAAGCTAGAAGGTTCAACAACTACTGAAACCTTAGCTGGAGCCTTAATTCTAACTGTGTATGTTCCTGGAGCCCCTACGTTCTTCACTCGACGAGTAACAGTCACTGGGCCATTAAGATCAGGAACTGCGATTGAAGGGTAGTTGAAGTCAGCGAAACTAAAATCCTTAGGGCATGTATAAGGTCCATCTGCAAATGCGTTCAATAAGGTCTCGTTATAGCCATGGGCACATAAGAAGTTGAGGTAATCGTTCACATTTGTATCATAAACTAGACCAGGATCTGCTGCGAAGTTTGGTTGCACATGTCCAGAACCATACATAAATGGGGTGGCAGGTTGGCCATCCTGATCAAGCATTCTCTTTTTGTCGTTAGATTTTGTTTTAGCTGCAGAGAAAAACCAAATTTTGTTCAATTAACGGGGCTGGAAAAACATGCTGGACCCTTTTGTGATTTTTTATATGTTCCAGCAAGTTTTCTAGTCTATATTGATTACCTGTTGTCATGATTGCAGATTTAAGAGCAGCTGGACTCCAATCTGGATGGATAGCTCTAAGAAGGCCAACGATGCCGGCGACATGAGGGCATGACATTGAAGTGCCAGACATTATCATGTAAGGAGTCCGACGCTTGTCAAATGGTTGTCTAGACGGTCCAAAAGCTCCGGTGAACGCAGCAATTACATCGACCCCAGGTGCGGTGACATCAGGCTGGAATTGGAATTGTCCATTAGATATAATTAAAATGGAAAAAGAAAAGCCATAGTTCATGCAGAAGCCAAAGATTTTCCAGTGAATGAACTGCTGAACTAACCTTAAGTACTGCTGGCTCAATTCGATTAGGTCCCCTCGATGAGAATTTTGCCATTACTGGACTTGGCTTTATTCCCGTAGCTGTAATTGCAGGACTAAACGATGCTGTAGGATTTCTATTTCGGTTGGCATGCATAAGGAGCATGTATAAGTCTATATTGGTAATAAATCTGACAGGATTTCAGCCGAAGGGAGCAAGAAAAATGGAGAAAAGAGTTGTTACTTGGTCGACTTGATGTAGTCCATGACAGCTGCACCATCAGTATAAGTGATTTGGGCAGACGGTAGCTCATAAGCTTCAAGGAGAAGTTCGTCCCCAGTTATTATATCATTTGCTAGTATCATCCCAACCGCGCCAGCACGCTCTGCTTCATATGCCTTCGATAGTCTCGGGCTTTCTCCTCGTACGCATAGGATGATTTTCCCAGAAACCTTCTCGGGATCAAGTGTTCCATTTAAGCATAGTTGGCTGCACAAGTAATTCCATGCAAATTACTACTATGGCCAACCTGGTGATTTGCACACTATATTGATGTTCCACATTTCTGAATTTTGATGTTTGTAGATTGGAGTGGTTGCTTACGCATCTCTAGGTATTGCTTCAGCTAGACCGGCTTCTGCACCGCTAATTAGTGGATGGAATTCTCCGTCCGGCATGTTTTTACTTGCAAGACTTTTTCCCTAAATTCACAAAAATGGTTACGAACTTACGATACCACTGATAACCTTAATGAGCACATGAAGTAGGTCTTAGAAAACTCCTGGTGATTGCCTCCACCATTTTCGTTGGAATTTTAGTTCTTCACAAGAAAAGAATACCTTGAAAAGCTTCTTGTCGCCAAGCGTGACTGTGGTATAAATCTCACGATCCATTGTACTAGCACCAACTGTGAACAACCAGGGAGCCCCATTTGATACTGATCCATCATTTGGTCCGTTGTTGCCGGCTGCAGCAATCACCGGAATGCCTTTCTTGATGGCATGGAGGGAGCCAATGGAGATCCCATCTTCATAAAATTGTATAGGCTCGTCAGAGCCTAGTGAGACTGAGATCACATCAACTCCATCAGCAATGGCAGCATCGAAGGCAGCCAAGATATCAGCATCGGTGCATCCACCATTAGCGGAGGGCCAGCAGACCTTGTAAGCAGCTACACGAGCTTTTGGAGCTCCACCCTTAGCAGTTCCATTCCCAACACCATAAACATTTACTCCAGGAACATGGCTACCACCAGCAGTTGATAAGGTGTGGGTTCCGTGGCCGGAGGCGATGTCACGAGCAGTATTCCACTCTTCTGGCACAGGACCATTTTTAGCGATAAAACCTTTGTTGAAGTACCTTGCGCCGATAAGTTTTCTGGTATAGTGCAAAAAATATTTCGTCAAAATCTGCATATTCTACTATCTTTTTATACTTCTAAACATGTTCAAGTATAGAGTTTTTTTGGAAAAAATGATCGAGGAGAGAAAGGGGACGGACTTATTGCAAGTTACTCCACCTCCAGCCTCACAATTTCCCTTCCAATTTGATGACACTGGACCCATCCCTTCATCGTTAAAGCTCTTCGATTCTGGCCATACGCCTAAAACAGTGGTATGCACCCAAAAAATGTAAGAGTATTACAATTGAGAAGAAACAACATGGACTTAGATAGCAAATTTTCTCTTATAAATCCAAGGAGATAGCCTTACCACTGTCTAGGTTTCCAATAATTATATCTTCTCCAAAGTTTGCCTTCTTCTGAAGGGAGTTGAGAGAAGGCACTCCATTTTTCTCAAATCCAAGAAAATCCCATGAACGTGTTGTGAACATTTTGTTTTCTTTGTTCTCAAAAACTGATACCACACGTTGATTATCTACATTTTGTAGAAAATGAAACAATTAACCTATTTGATCCTGAAATTGTCTTAAATTCCGAACAAAGTTGTACAAAACAGAGAAGAAACAGAGCAAAACAAGCTTGAGAAATAAATACAACTTTATAATCCTTACCATTAAGAGCTGCCACCTGAGCTTCATCGAGAAGTGCAGCAAAACCATTGATACATCTAGTGTAAGAGTAAAGCATCTGATCCTCAACCTTTTGTTTGCTGCAAAAGATAAGAAATATAACATTATTCTACAAATCTTGATTGTTTAAGCCAGAGGATTTTCAAAAACTTCCGACAATGCAAACCTGTCTAAGTATTTTCCAAGCAGATCAAAGTGTGAATTTGTCATTGTTTTTACATCTAATTGATTGGTAGATGACGCAAAAAATGATTTTTCTCCTGATGATGATGATGGGGCAAATGAAGATTCTCCCATGTAAACTATATAAGACTGCATGAAAGAAAAGGCATCAATAATCCCATAACCAAGCTTAGATCAACAGCATTTACGCATAGAGCAGTGAAAAGGGAGACAATCTTGCCTTTTTAGCAGAACAAGGATGAGCCTGAAACAGAGAAAGGAGGAGAATAGAAAGAACCCAAGGAGAGAACATTGAGAGCCTCATTGTTTCCCTCTCACTTGCAGAACTTCCTTTCAGAGCAGAATTGCAAATGTTCTGTTTTCCCCCTGTTTTCAAATTGAAATGTTGTTATGCTTTCCCTTGTTTCTAAACTCTTCTTTTTTTTTTTTTTTGGGTCTATTTCTAGGGGGTAGCCAAATTCTGCTTCTATATTTTTGAGCTAGACAGCCTGGAATCCAATTACCTTTGACGGAAAAGAGTGATTCTAGCGCCAAATTTTAAACTCTTTTTCCTTGAATTTGTTGGTTAATGGCTGAAATATGTCCTTGTATAATAGAGTAATTTTTCAGTCCATTATTATATCCTTAATTAAACCAATTTTATCTTTGAACATGCATTAAATGTCTAATTTATTTTTCTAGCAAGATTTTTAAGCTAAACTTTCAAAATTAATCACACGATTTGCACATAAAAATCTTTTATTTGATTGGCTTGCTAATGTATTTTGGCAATAAAAATTAGTCATTTACAAATCATGTAAATAATTTTGATGATTTAGCCTGAAAATCTGACAAAAAAATAAACTGAAAAGTTAACGTATATTTAAGAATAAAATTGAATGAATTCAAGATATAAGAATAGATTAGAGAATTTTCTTATTATACAAGGATAGATTGAGCTATTATTATTATTATTATTTTAACATTTAACTTTGCATGTTACATTTTATAAACTCTTTTTATGCTTGAGCATCTATCTATCTTCTATACATAGCCCTCGTTTTAAGAAATTCTTAATTGCAAGTGTAGAACTCTACATAAGTTTTTCTAAGCTTTTTTTTATTTTTGTTCTTCGGTCACGAACTCTTAAGCATCAAATCAACATTTGTAACTCAAGTCCATTTTTGAATTCGTTCAGATATATAATTATCACAATATCCTCAAAGTTTGCTTGCTTGCATAACATGCATATTTGTAACCAAGTCCTAGATTTCAGTGATCTTCTGATTATATTTGGCGTTAGAAATGTAGGCATCTTTAACAATGAGACCCCTTTTCTTTCGGTGAAAAGATAAGCATAAGGAGGGGCTTGTTAGGGAGTGCATTATGCAAGAAAATAAGAGTAAAACTACAAGTAAAATCACATAATATAAGGATTTTACATGGTTCGGCAACGGTGTCTATTCCACGACTGCACTAGGAGTTTTTATTAGGTTTCATCAAGAGACGGTTGATAATTACAAGTGATGTTGTCTCTGTTTATAGTGTAGACGACTAGAATTATAATAAAAAAGGCCTAATGTGCCTATATGCTTAGCTCAATATTTTATAAACTTTTTGAGGGCTCTGTTATGTGTGTAGCATCCTATATTGTAGATCTTACATACATACATACATACATACATACATACATATATATATATATATAGTCTCCACAACTTAACAGGGCTGTGCCAAAAATCAACGCATTCTAATTTACTTCACGTTGCAGGAGATTATGTGGAATAACTGAATGAAAATGAATGGAGCCAAGAAATCGAATTGAATTAATGGAAAAAAGCTGTGGAAGCACATTTGTGTATGCATCAGCATCACTGCAATTTAGGCATTTTTTACTATGATACAAACAATAGCTATTTACAATAGACATCTTTTTTTTTTTTTTTTTGCAGAACTTTTCATGTCCTGTTCTCTCGCCCTTGATTACTTGTGTGATCTACATAGAGGTAATTGAGGGTTTTGGGGGAAGAATACACCATCTATACATGCTTCACCACAAGAGGACTGTTGACATGATGGTGGTTGCTATCTGACCATGTTAGGTGCCCAAATGCATAGTTTTTAGGCATGCCATTCACTACAGGCTTTAAAATAACCTTGAAAATTTGCTCTTCACCAGCTTTCTTGAATGTCAAGGTAGAGGGCTCCACAACCACTGAAACTCTAGCTGGTGCCCTAACTTTAACTATGTATGTGCCTGGAGAACCCACATTCTTTACTCGGCGAGTAACAGTTACTGGGCCATTTAGATTAGGAACTGTGATTGAAGGGTAGTTGAAGTCAGCGAAAGTAGCATGCTTAGGACACGTAAAAGCTCCGCCGAAGAATGCTTTCAATGTGGTCTGGTTATAGCCATGGGCACATAAGAAGTTAAGGTAATCACTTATGGTCGTGTCATAAACCAGGCCAGGATCTGCTGCAAGATTTGGATGCACATGTCCTGCACCATATGCAAATGGTGTTGCCGGTCGGCCATCAAAATCAAGCACTCTCTTCTTGTTGTTAGCTCTTGATTGTGCTGCAGATGACAAACCAAATTCGATCCAATTAGCATACATGTATAACAACAAGCTGCATACTTCTATAGTTCTATGTTTGAACAAGTTTGGTTGTTTATCTGGGCCACAAGTATGTACCGGTTGTCATGATTGCAGATTTAATAGCAGCTGGACTCCAATCTGGATGGATAGCTTTAAGAAGACCAACAATACCAGAAACATGAGGGCATGACATTGAAGTTCCGGACATGGTGACGTAAGGGGTCCGAATCTCGTCCGATGGTTCTCCGGATGGCCCAATAGCTTCGGTGTAAGCAGCAAGTA